TTTTTTATTTAGGGCTTTCAATGTTACATGCAGGGAAAAATATGTCGAGAAACGGGTCATTTTTCGGTTCATTTTGTATGTTTGTTGTTCCCCTGAATTTAGCAACGGCGTTTTGGAATAGGCAAACTCGGATTCTTATTCTACATAATATTTGTGATTTCTCTGTACAACAAAATAGATGACTTCAAATACAAACGCCTCGAATGCTCTATCGCCTGGACTATATGAATCTGGACACATCTCGTTATAAAATCAGCAAATGTTTCAAACATTATTCAAGTCTTACAATTTGTTTTGAAAATACTTATCGGTTCTAAAAGATTTGTTTTGTTATGTATAAGAAAATTTTTATTCTAAAATTAAGCAGAGATAACCCACAACTAAACAATCATCCTACCATTTAGATAATTATTATGATTGTGAATAGGTATATTTTTCTTCCACGTCTATAAATTCAGGGTCATAATTTATTACTTATATTATAAGAAAACAAATATCCAAATATTCTTTCCATATTTTCCAAGAAATGTTGCAGTTTCCGAAAAACACAAATTTTTATTTTTTATTTATAAATATTAGAATCTTGAAATAATATTTACGTGCGAAGGAAAGAATGCTAAAAAGATTTTAAAAATTAAATCACATGGTAGTAGAAATTTATTTTAGTACCTATTACATATTCTAATTGTACATATACAAAAATACTTATATAGGAAACATTTTTCTCCATGGAAACATTTAATCTTACTCCGATATTGCTGTGATGCAACTAATTGAAAAATACAACTGAGTAACTTACCTGTAAGTTGACAAACAATATATAATCCCTACTTAGATCCTAAGGTCGTAGTCAATTTAAATGTAGTTAACCATATATCAGGACATTGTGAACTACGCACCAACTTAGCTTGTGAAACACGACCTGTTTTTAATACTGGATAATCTTCTTTATTATTACAATTTTAAAGGTCGTCTTACATAGGAACTGCGAAAAAATTGTTAACACTTTCTTAATTGTGCGCTAGCAGCCAATTAAATAAGTATATCTTTCCTGCTTTCGGCGACGAAATTTGTAATACGGAGACAGAAGTAACAACGCTTATGATAACAAATGCAGTTATCTCAAAGTCAAAGTTCCCACTCTAAAACTAGCACTAGCAGACTTCAGAAGCCCAGACTTATTAGAATTTACCTTTCATAAAATATGTTTAAAGAATATTATCAACGAAACAACATTCCATAACAAAATTGTTTATCGACGTCACAAAATTATCAGTCAATGGCTGTGTGGTCAATGGTCATTACAGCTCTCAAATAATAAATAGTATCCTTTAAACCAATACTAATTTATGGTACTAGTGTGTTACGGTATACAGGGTATAGCAAAAGTACTGGAACGGCAGAATAACTCGTCGGGAGAGCATTTCAGAGAAAAATGTTAAATACAAAAGTTTCAGGATTTCTCCCTGGCTATCCGATGGTGACCTTGACATTGACCTTGAAGGTCATTTCAAGGTCAAATAAAATTTTTCAAATGGGACCCTATACTTTTGACTTCAGAAATGAAAAGAGCGGAAAATTTTACGCTCAGCTATGCTCTTGAGCCCCCACAAGGTCAAACTAACAAAAGTACAGTGACGGCAGAATAACTCGGCGGGGGAGCATTTCAGAGAAAAAGTCTCAGGATTTCAAGGTCAATGTCAAGGTCACCATCGGATGGCCAGGGAGAAATCCTGAAACTTTTGTATTTAACATTTTTCTCTGAAATGCTCTCCCGACGAGTTATTCTGCCGTTCCGATTCTTTTGCTACACCCTGTATATAAGCCATGCTGGGAAATGTCTAGCTAATTTTCCCAATTGAATTATATAACGTAACACACGAGTGCCATACAACATTTTATCCAACATATTACAAAGGATGCGAGTGTCAACCTAAATTTCTATAACTCACTAGTGACTTATAGGCCACATTCCTTTAACACCAAAGAAATTATATCAGTTACCAGTTTAAGAGCAGATAGAGAAAAATGAGTATAATACGATGGCGTGATTAAAAAAAATTAAATGCATATTTAAGCAGAAAAAAATATTTTCAAATCATTATTTAACCCCCTTTTCAGGTTGTCACTGACCGGCTGACGTCAGTCGGTTATTCACAATTTGCGAAAGGAGGGGGTTGAAATTCACATTTTAATTTTTTTCTTTAGCGTAGGAAATGCTAGAGACACGAAACTTGGTATGTGCATCCTACTAATAAAGAGACAACTTTTCAATATTTTTTCGATCATTGGCGTATTTTATAAAAGAGTGAAACAGTCAACCCCATTGCAATATTCTATTATAATTTTTTTATATAAAGCAAATTATTAATTTAAAAATATTTATATTAGATGCGTCATCGTTCACTAAAGGGGTAATTGCGAAAATTTGTAAAAATAAAATAGGGGGATGTCATAACAAATAAATTGTTATTTATCATATTAATAAATTGACACTTTCTGTCAACCAATAATTAGTACCATTTGATTAATTTATTATCAGAATAATTATGGCAAATAATATTTATACCAATGACGAATATGTCGACATGCTCCAAGTGTTTTTCGAATCCAGAAGAATTAGTAACGCTGCAGTAAGATTATACCACCATAGATATCCGAACCGACCGATTCCTCATAGACAAACATTGGCCTCGGTCTCGGTGGTACCATTCACTGGTACCATTTTTACTACTTCATTTAAAACACCCTGTATACATGTATGTACATTGTATTGTTATATTACATGTGTCCTATGTTTGTAATAATAATAAATTGAATTGAAACCTTTCAAAAACTTATGTGAGTGTTTAATTAGACTGAATTTCAAATGCGTATTTCTACCTCAGTGGGGAATAAGGCATTTTTTTATTCTCTAAAATTACAAAATAAAGTCGGGTTATTATTAAATACTACAGAACGGAAATTAAAATTACAGTTCTAAAAATTTTCTAATAATTAAAACGATTCATCTTGTAAAACATAATGTTCCATAGTAAAGTTAAAAAATAGTTATCGCCCTATGCTTGTCTGTAAAAAGAACATTATACGCGTGCTATTTTCACCTAGGGAAAAAATAAAAACATCAGGATATGGAAAATAAAACAATTATTTGCATTCGGTCATCATATATTCTCAATTCCATTATTATAACTGACAGGTCGTTCTACAAGTTCGTCATTGTACTCCCTGCATCTACAACTAAACACGTGCTTCAAAAATATGTTGTAATTCCTGTCGCAGAGATACAAAACGATCAAAAAGTAAACCGGGTTCAAAGTTGCAATGAAAAAAGTTACACTCATAAGTATCTGAATCGTAAGAAGGTTGAGGAGAGGTGCAGTGAATACGACCAATAAACCTGGCAAGTGAGACAAGAACAATATGTTGGTTAACATAAACGGGACGTTTTTTCTGTTGCTGTAATCTATAAGTCTTCGTTTTTTTACAGCATGCATGATGTTTATGATGGGCATAAATAAGATAAAAGCCAAATAGGTTATGATCAAAACCAGTCCCATGACTGAAAACATCCGCGAATTGTAACAAGCATCTATATTCAAAGCCGTAAGAAATATTAAAAAAATGTAGAGAAATATTAAAACGCATTTGATGTGTTGGTCGAACTTTTTGTGTTTTTCCGTGTGATATAATTTCGTGTACCAATAAATGGTGAGAATTACAATTAATATGATGTCGATCAGAAACAGAGTGTATTCCGTGTGATTTACAAAACAAAACGTACTATCTCCTACCAAATGCGTTAAATAAATAGTTAAACCAAACGTTATGGGAGCACTTAGGATAAGGGGGCAGTTAATTATGGCCCAGTTGAGAATAATTATGTTCCATTTTTCTTGACGTAATCGCTTATACTTTAAAGTAACAAAAATTATAAGTAAATTAGCGATGAGACAGATGAGTGAGACGACAATGTACACTTCTAAAAATCTTTTATTATAAATCTCAATTTGTCGCTCCAATATCCTTTTCTCTTCGGAAATGTTCCTAGAAGAATTCATGAATCCATTTGAGAAATGCCCCATAATCTGAAAACGAGATTAGAATTATACATGCAGAGCCTTTACAAATGATCACAAGCCACGTGACAAGTAATTTTGTTTCAAACAGTAATTTTATTTCCTCAGCGTTGATAATATTAAAAATTACTAAAACTATACTTAGATCAATGGACACAAAATTTTGAGGTTAATAATATTCTTTCTCTGACAAGATGCCTTTACTGTACCTTTATTTTCGAAATTATGACACTTTCTTAAACTGAAATGCGCTATTTTCAAAATATTTGAAACTTAACACTGGAAAGGAAAAAAAATATTTTGCATTGTTTATTGGATTATTATTATATTTTGTCATTGGCGGTGGTTTTTAAGGGTTAAAACAATGCGATAAATTATAAATTGTATTATAAACAAGTAAAGGAATTTAATTTATCCTGTTTGTACTATAAAATCATTTCAAACTGTTAAAAACTATATTTTTTAATATTTTGTTATTAGGGGTAGTTTTTTAAGGGTTGAAATATTGTAATAAGTTATTTATAATGCCGTAAACTATTGAAAAGATTTATATCTATAATACATGTGCTATAAAAATATTTTAAGGTCAAAGAAACTATTAATTTTAATATTTTTATCATTAAGGGTGGTTTTTAAGGGTTGGAAATGCTTAAATGGGAAGTCCTTGCACCTTCCGATTATCACTTGTTCCGATTGATTAATTTTCACGAAAAAACAGCGGGAACGTATTCGACATCCCATTATTTTCCAATATGTTTATATTGTTTATGCTGTTATATAAACCATAAAATCTTAAATGATGTTGCCTCACTGTAGGGTCATGCTTATAGGTTATCATCAAGTATTTTTAATGTTCTTCGAACGTAATACTATGAATAATCTGGACACATATAATTTCAAAATCAGCAAATCCTTCAAACGATATCCCAGTCTTACAATCTGTTTTGAAAAAATTCTTATCGGTTCTAAAAGATTTGTTTTGTTATTCCAAGTTAAGCAGAGACAAATAATTAATCAACCTTCGTGCAATTTATACAAGGTGGTCCGAATTTTATGCAGGAAAAAAATATTTTTTTGTTTATATCTCCGGAATCTATTAACCGATCTGAATAAAATTTGGTACAGATAATGTATGACAGTAGGCCTTGTATTCCCTAAAATATGAGCTGTAAAGGATCGACCAGTGGTGTACAACTGGACAGGGTCACCCTTTTTTTATAAAAAAAAACCTACGCCACTGTATTTCTTACAAGATATTGTAACGGATTTATATTCTAATGTACAAAATNGCTATAAAAATATTTTAAGGTCAAAGAAACTATTAATTTTAATATTTTTATCATTAAGGGTGGTTTTTAAGGGTTGGAAATGCTTAAATGGGAAGTCCTTGCACCTTCCGATTATCACTTGTTCCGATTGATTAATTTTCACGAAAAAACAGCGGGAAAGTATTCGACATCCCATTATTTTTCCAATATGTTTATGCTGCTATATGAACCATAAAATCTTAAATGATGTTGCCTCACTGTAGGGTCATGCTTATAGGTTATCATCAAGTATTTTTAATGTTCTTCGAACGTAATACTATGAATAATCTGGACACATATAATTTCAAAATCAGCAAATCCTTCAAAAAATATCCCAGTCTTACAATCTGTTTTGAAAAAATTCTTATCGGTTCTAAAAGATTTGTTTTGTTATTCCAAGTTAAGCAGAGACCAATAATTAATCAACCTTCGTGCAATTTGTACAGGGTGGTCCGAATGTTATGCAGGAAACTTCGAGGGCAGATAGATGTCCGTAAAATAATAGGTGTTTGCCTTATAAACATAGGTCTGGAACGGCCTCGTTTTAGAGATACAGAGTGTTGAAGTTGTTAAAAAAAATCATTTTTTGTTTATATCTCCGGAATCTATGAACCGATCTGAATAAAATTTGGTACAGATAATGTATGACAGTAGGCCTTGCATTCCCTAAAATATGAGCTGTAAAGGATCGACCAGCGGTGTACAACTGGACAGGGTCACCCCTTTTTTATAAAACAAAACCTACGCCACTGTATTTTTTACAAGCTATTGTAACGGATTTATATTCTAATGTACAAAATACGTAAAAAAGGTAACGTGAATGTTTTCCCTAAAGTTCACCGTTCTCAAGTTATTCATATTTATGTTTATGCTTAAAAGTAAGTGCAATTTGTAAGCACATCAACAAAATTCTTTACACTCGTCGCTTTCATCTTTTTGGATTAAAAAGATATTTGGAAAATCACGACAGGGCAATGAAAGGCACATAAATAAAGAAATTTTAAGAACATTGGGGTGAGTAAATCGAAAATTTGAAAAGTTCTACATAAGGATGGTAGAAATCCGTACCATTTACAACCTGTGCAAAATTTACTTCCAAGAAATGTAGACACACCTGAATTTTTGTTAGTGGTTGTTTTAAAGTCACAACATAATCCATAATTCTTACTAGAAATACTTTGGACCGAAGAGGCTACGTTCACAAGGCCAGGGGTAGTGAATTTTCACAATATTTGGTCACAAGATGAAATTCGGACAAGATCTTTTCAACACGAATTTTCTGTGAAAGTGTGGCTCGGAATAATTCGGACCTTTTTTCTTGTCACCCCATCTAAATTCCCAGCATTTCTAAACTTTCTAGAAAACCATCTATTTGAATTATTAGAGGATGTTCCATTAAATATACCACAAAATAGCTGGATACAAATGGATGGTGCTCCTGCGCATTTTAGGAGAATAATACAAGAATGGCTTAAAAATTATATGGAGCGATGGATAGGTTGAAGACCAAATGCCAATGTCAACCATAATGGTGCAGAGAATCCAGTGTCTTGGCCAGCCAGATCGCCAGATCTAAACCCCGTGGACTTCTATGTTTGGGGTTACCTATCTAAAAAGTAAAGTTTACTCTACTCCAATAGATACAAAACCACAACTACTGCAGCAAATAGAAGACGGGTGTAATGAATAAAAGCAAACCACCACATGATATTAGTTAGGTAATTCCATTAATCATTAATAGAAGTTGTTAGAAATGTATCGATGTGGATGGTTCGTATTTTGAACAATTGCTGTAAATACGTAACGTTAATTTCGTTTCTTGTTTAATTGTTGTTGCTTGGTAAATGTATTTTTATTATTATTTTGATTTAAATTGTTCTTATTTCTTGTAATATTATGGTTTGTAGTGTCTGCCACAAGGGGATTGTATTGGTATGAATAACTTGAGAACGGCGAATCTTAGGGAAAATATTCAAGTTACTTTCTTTACGTATTTAGTGCATTAGAATATAAATCCGTTACAATATCTTGTAAAAAATACAGTGGCGTAGTTATTTTTTATAAAAAGAGGGCGACCCCTGTCCAGTTGTACACCACTGGTTGAACCTATAGAGCTTGCTTAGGGAAAGCAAGGCCTACTGTCATACATTATATGTACCAAATTTTATTGAGATCGGTTAATAGATTCCGGAGATATAAACAAAAAATTAATTTTTTTTAACAACTTTAACACCCGTATCTTTAAAACGAGGCCGTTCCAGACCTATGTTTATAAGGCAAACACGTATTATTTTAAAGAGATCTATCTGCCCTCGAAGTTTCCTGCATAAAATGCGGACCACCCTGTACAATTATGTATGATTGTGGATATGTTCTTCTTCCACGTCTGTAAATTCAGGGTCACAATTTATTGCCTTATGAAAACTAAATATCTAAATATTCTTTACACATTTATTATATATTCATACAATTACTAATTATATTTATTTATAAAGAGCTGACAAATTAAAAAGGCAGATAAAACGTATTCTCAGATTATGCTGTTGTAGTTTCCGAAAAACGCTAATTTGTATCTTTTATTTATAAATTTTGGAACCTTTATCTGTGAAGGAATGAAGAATGCCAAACATATTTTTAAAATTAAATCGAATTATCAGAAAAATACACTTTATAAAATAAAAAAAGTTTCATGCTGCAGGTTTTTGTTTTAAAAATTTAGTCGGTTACCTTCATTTAGAAACATCTTTTTAAGGGTGAACCGCTCGCCTATTAATACAACTTACATCATATGTAACTTACCTAAAAGTTGACAAAAACTATATAATCCCAACTTAGGTCCTAAGATCGTAGACCGCACCAACCTGTTTTTAATACTGGATAATCGTTCTCTATTATTGCAATTTCAAAGGTCGTCTTACATAGGAACTGCGAAAAAATTGTTATATAACACTTTCTTAATTGCGCGCAAGCAGACAATTAAATAAGTACATCTTTCCTGCTTTCGGCGACGAAATTTGTAACGCGGAGACAGACGCAACAACGCTTATCATAACAAATGCAGTTGTCTCAAAGTAAAAGTTCTCACTCTAGCAGACTTCAGAAGCAGTGCAGCCTTATTAGAATTTAGCTTTGATAAAATATGTTTACAGAATATTTTCAATTCCATAAAAAAATTGTTTATCGACGTCACAAAATTATCAGTCAATGGTCATTACAGCTCTCAAGTAATACGAGTAAATAGTATCCCTAAAACCAATTCTAAAGAATTTATTTGTTTGATATTTTTATCTTCTGCGAAAAAATACAAGTAAACAATTATTTTAGCTCACATTTGATTGCTTTAACCTCTAAAATGTCGGATGAAGAACAGATTCGGTATGCACAAGTCGGTCGAAAATGCATAAGATTGCATGAGCTGTGAAGTAAAGTATAAATATTTCATTATTTACACGCTCCTGTATTTTTTACTTCTTGTATAGAAAGTTTATCGTACTTTATAAATAAAGCAAGATTTCAAAAAGCAGACCTACTTCATTTGAAAATTTCTCATTTTATTTATTGTTCCAAATTGAATTACACAAATAAACACAAGTTGAATGTAATCTATTTCTAATGACTAATTTCTGTATCGAAAAGTGTATTTAAATTTCCCGTCACCTATCCTCATTCATACTCCATTGCGCTGTTGCCATTATTCCTTCGCTTTTATTAGTTGGCGTATGACAAGTCTGAACTTTGATAATTCTCTCTATGAAATGTGCGGTAACCTACTTTTTTCTTTATTTTTTTCTGATCAGAAAGAAGGTTCAACTTTAATTTTTTTTTGAACTGACAAATGTTATGTTTTAATATTATGATGTAACGAGTTACAAAACTATGCGGATATTTTCATATAATTCTTATTTTCAGAATTGGATTCTATGTAGATTACATATTTTTTCTACTGGGAAAAGTAATTTAGAATATGATTTTACTTTTACCTCACTTCTTTTTCATGTTTAGCACCATTATATCCATAAAAAAAATTTTATTTCTACCTTATTGTGATTTGTACTTGCTACAGTATTTAAAAATCTTTGTTTTTTTTTCATATAGCTAGGAATATTTTATTATTGTTTTTTTCAGTCACTACAGTGACTGATATTTTTGTTTACACTTATATTCTTTCTACATACCCACTGATTTATAAATATTCTTGATAACTTACAATTGTATAGATTAATAGAAGAAATTGTATAATAAAGTGAGACTATAAAAAAAGGGACAATAAAAAGTACTACTTGGGGAAATACATAAATTATAACTTACCTTTTCAGTATATTCTAGTAAATACAGCTATATAAATTTTAAATAAAATAAGAATCGACATAATACTTCTATCTGCACCATATTTCTTTGTTAAATTATTTCAATGTTGTATAGACAGCATGCTACAAAAATTTGGTCTTTTTCATATTCATAAAAGGATAACAAACAATAATTTATTGTATATTTGATTAAGAACATTTGATAAATTTTTTGTATTGAAACTTACATGTCAGGAAAAATTATTTATTTTCTGTAGTTATATGAATACATGGTTCATAAATACGAGGTATATCAACATTTTAATGAAACGTGAATATATTATGTCACTAGTATTTTATAGGCATATTTTTAAATAACAGAGCCCAAAAAAAAAGTTCTGTTTCAGAAACATGCGTATATAGATTTTGTGTATTTTTTATTCTTTAATTCGGAAATTATTAAATCCAAAATGGGGGACCCATTATGGCGAAGTACCATAGGAATTGGTATTTACCACTCAAAGAAAGGTATTATGAATCATTTGAGTAAAAATAGGCAAATGTCTAAAATAAGATCTATGTACAGGGTGATTCACTATATTTTGACCTCCCCCATTAACATTTTTGTATTTAGAGTTATAAAAAATGTGACATGCAAAAGTTGCACGATTTTTTATGAATTTTTCGAAAATGATAGTAGAAAAACAAGTGAAGTCCAAAAAAAAATGGCCGCGGATGTTAATTTTGTTCATTTAAATGGAACACCCTGTGTATTTTTACATATTTGGATAGAACGTTCCCTGTCGAGCATAGAGTTTCTTGGGTCCATCTCTAACAATAAGCGAGATACTAATAAAAAAGAAAAGACGGTTTTTTATTAGGAAAATACGATATCTTGTAATTGTTAGACCTCTTTCAGGCATTTCTGCCTTTTTTCCAATTACGTAAGAATTTACAGATTTACCTATTTGTAATATTTTGACAGATCGGACATTGATATGGTCCAAACTTTTGTATTTCACACTTTTTTGCAATTCTTAAAACAAAAAAGTTAAAGGGGAGGTCAAAATATAGTGAATTACCCTGTACTCATGTTTCTGGTGCAGATTTTTTTTGTTTGTGGGGCTATATAATCTAGGGACTAACCAAAAATGTTTGTTTTGTTCTCGATGCAATTTTATATTGAAATATTGTTTTACCTGTTTACTAATTTAAAAAAGTCACCATGGTTACTAGACCAATTTTCCAAAAATTATCACCTATACACATGTTTATTTTTTTGACGATAACTTTCTTAATTTTCAAGATTTTTTATCGCACAAAGGCTCATTTTGTAGGCAATTATAAGGGCTACGTGAACTGTTGAGTTGATCTTTTTTAAGCCTTTCATTTTTAAGTTTAAAGGGATTAAAAGGCTCGAAAAGGGTGTATCTCTCATTCATATGATAACTTAAAATGGCGATATCTCGATTAATATTAATTTTAAAGGAATAAAAAAATTAAGCAAAATCTTCAAAAATAAAGCAACATTTTTTTCCTCTTGTATTTTTTTCGTACACCCTTTAATTTTTAAATTACAGCGTATAAATCGATTTTTTCAACATTTTCAAAAATTAAGTTTTTTTTCAAAATCATGCTTTGTAAGTGAGCCAAAGACCCAGAACATATTCTTAGAACATAAATGAAGAAATCTGTAAATGGATTGCATTTAATTTTAATTCTGTCGCCAAAGGCACTGATTTGTTTATTAATTTTTTCTTAAAAAAAATGAGACTATCATGTTATTTCGATCATATTTCAGTTAATTTTTATTCTAGACTTTTAAAACAGCTCATTTTAAAGGTTTTCAAAGTACTTTAAAAAAGGTTCAAATATCCTAATATTTATGGTTTTGGCGTTATTTAACGTTAACTGGTTCCAATTTAGTTTTTAGCTATAACATATAATAATGTTTAAAAATCCATAACTCCGTTTATATTGCAATTAGAGAAAAACAGTATGCCATTAGATTTGTTTTTTTATTACCTTTCTTTGTGTTCATTACAACTTTTTCGTTAAATCCAATGGTTTCAGAGTTATTTGCAAAAAACTGTCCGAAAACAAGTACTTTTTCAGTAAAAAGGCAACATTTTCAATGACGAATTACTCGGAAAGTATTGGATTATCCAAAAAACTTTATATAACATTTGTTACTTAAAACTGACTCCTCTATCGATTCCTGTTGTTATTTTGGGCGTAAAAAAATTTCCACCCCCAAGAAGGGGTCGGAACCACCTCCAGGGCAAAAGCACACTTCGGCACTATATAAGTTTTGTTCCTTGAGGCATTCCCCACATGCACTCAAAATTTCACGTCAATCGGTTCAGTTATACAGTGTAGGAAAGTACCGATGGTCTAGCAGAAGTAACGTGAGAGCGATAAAGTAAGCCATAGAAATCCATGTTATAGACAAGGATGGCTATAATGAAGATCCACTTCTTATTTGTGGAAGGGCGAAATGGGCGTTGACTATTAGACGCCTTCATCATAGCCATCCTTGTCTATCACATGGATTTCTATGGCTTACTTTATCGCTCTCACGTAACTTCTGATAGACCATCGGTACTTTCCGACACTGTAAATAATTCGGAGGTAAAAACCCTGAGTAACTGGACTATACTTTATTTATTTGAAAATGTACAAAATTAATTAAATATTTCTTAAGGATGCATTATTATTCACCAACATTTCAACAAATTTCTCTTGTGATATCGATTACAAGGGTTCATTGATCGTCACTGTGAACATTTAATTCATCGAAATCAGAGTCCAACACCGCCATCCTAAGAACCTTGCGAAAAGCGTTTCTAAACTGTTTACTGGATTTCCAGAGTTCGTATATGATAACCATCGGACAACAGTAAGCCAAATATTCAGGCAGGAATAGTGTATACCAAAGAACTCGCTCTACATTCTCAAAATTAGCAAATATAATAACCATATTATAAAAAATTATTAAGGGCATCCACATCAGTAATATAATAACAGATACAGTTAAGGAGTAAGCCTTATGCGGCGTTGACAACCTTAAGTTCTTCTCCAACTTTTGTTCCTCGTAAGTTACGTATAAAATGCTTATCAGAGCAAGGAAAAAATAACCCGACAAGAAGTGGAAATTAAAGTTATTGTTGAATCCCCTCTTGAGACAAATACTGGCCGCTATCAAGTAGACAAGGAAATGCCCGAAGTAGAAAAACGAAAAGACGTAAAGATACCTCTCCTTGTACCTCGAGAACCAACTTGGTTTAGCTTTTTCCAGGAACGAGTCCATGCCGTACCCCGCGATAAAGCTGAAAGCTAACCCCATAGCGAAGTTCTCGACGCGTATCCAAACACAGTACCAATGAATGTCCATTTGTCCTTCGTAGAATGTTTCCGATACCATATAGTACAGCAGAGGGGTTGATATTATGTAAAGGATGTGGCTGATATTGAAATTTACCAAGTACAGATTGGTTCTCTTCTTGAGTCGCTTGTATTTTAATATGACAACCGTTAAAAATAAGTCTGCCACTATGGCGGCAACGCATAGCGGGATGCTAAAGTAGTCTGTTACGGTTGAGAGGTATTCCAATGGACTGGTACTGGTGGAGTTTGGGTGTAGGTGTGGATCGTCATTCCAGGGTGATTCAGGCTCCATCTCAATCTAAAATAGAGTTGCATATCGATAATAATTTAAGGTAGATTATCAATTTACTTGAGCAAGTGCCCTGTTAGAACAGATACCTGGATTGTTAAAGATAGGAAAACGTAGAATACATTTGGGAAAGAAAAGAAAGGAAACATTATTAAGATGCGAAGAACTAGAAAACAGTTTAGAATCGTTAGTCCATAGAAAATTTACAGGCAGTAAGAAGGAAAAATATGCAGGGTGTTGCATGATAAACTAGACAAACTTAAGGAACAAGATCCTGAGGTCATGCTGAGTAAAAAAGTTATAATATACATGAGATCATTTCTCCATGGTTACCGAGACATGGTCCTTTAAAGTTTAGAAATAAGTACCGGTGATTTTCTATAATGTCCACCCACATTAACTTGTTTCTTTGGAACAGTAAAATTTTGTAAAAAATGTGAGGTTGTAAGATTTCTTCTGTACATTTTGCATAGGTATTTGAAAATTGATCAAACATATTAGCAGTGGCGGCTCGTGGTTTTTTGAGATGGGTGGGCAAAATATTTTTTCTCTCATGTAACTTAATATCATATAGGAATAATTGCACTCTACTGGCCTTCTAATTTATTTTCTATATCAATTTTTTTTAAATTTTCTGTTAACAAATGATCCGCAGCTTTTTTCCTCTTGTTTACATAAAAAAAATCCCATAAATCTTTCAACTAGTTTACCACAATGAACATATCTAAAAACTACTAATAACTGAGTTAAGTATTCAACATCCGTTGTTTCATTTGGGTACTTGACACGCGAAATATAGGTAGAGCATTTCTTATTTCTGAAAATATCACTTCGGATGCTACTCCATTGATGCTCTCTATTAAATCATTTTGAATAGTTTTTGAAAGGCTGCTAAAAACTAAACTTTTTTCTAAAAACACTTTAAATTTATTATCGTATCTTGAAAGTAAATTTGCAAGCTCACGAAAATTGCCTTGATTAATGGAATTATCTGATTCATTATGGTCCTTAAATCTTGTTCTTGTGTAGCTAAGTAAATAATCATATCAATAGAGTGCTTTACAATGTCTATTTTTGTCCACGACTTTATTATGTTTTAAAACATTCTCACGAAATGCGGAATCAAGAAAAGTTTGAATGTTTTTTTCCTAATAATTTAAATATTAATGATGCATATGTATGCTAATTCGATCGCTCTTGTTTTTTTTAATGATTCATTAATATGTTCCAGATCTGAATAGCCTAGATAGTTCCACGGTGTTTTACTTTTTTCATTACATAGTAAGCAATTCTAGCAATACATATAATTTGGTTGTGGTTTCACTGACTGTTAATAACCACTCATATTTATTGTACCAATTTTTACTAAATGATCCGTTACTTCCGCAATTATTTTTATTTGTTAAATTTTTCATGTCAGGCGTAGGTTTTAATTTTGAAATAAATAATTTATCATCGAAAGTCAACGTACTAAAATTTTTATATAATAAAAAAAATTGACAATACATTAACATTGCTACTCACCAATTCGCGAATTTCACTTGCCATTTTGCTTTACTCCAAACTGTTAAACAATAAAAACTTGCCTAAACCACCAATACAAACTCTAACCTTGTCTAGGTTAAACATAAACAAACGACAATCACAAATCGCAAGATGATACGTAAGTACTCGAGGAGTATACGAGTGAAGCCGAAGGGCTTGCCCGGTGCGTAAGTCAATTTACGTATACTCATATTATAATTTATTAAAAATCTGATTGAAATTATTAAATGAAACAAACGTTTTTTTATATCTAACAGTTTCTTTATTATTTGAAGAAAAAATAAATATTGGATTTAAATGTCCTAAAAATTTACATCACTTCCATATTTACAAACTGGAATCTATTAAAACATTGAAAATTTCTCCGCAATCATTCTTAATTCAGTTTAACAGCAACGAGTTAAAAAAAACTTTATAATTATAATTATCATTATCACAGAATATTCAACATAGCACCGTAGATATTTATTTTTGAACTCGATTTACACATTATTATAAAACGGTTTATTATTTCATTTATTAAAATTTGTTTTCTGGAATACC